GTCAGAAAGTTGGACAATGACTAGGGAGGATAGAAGGAGAATTGATGCCTTTGAGCTGTGGTCCTGGAGAAGAATATTGGGTATACCACGGAGTGTTAAGAAAACAAACAGATTCATCCTGGAGAGGGTTTAACCAGGCTGCCCCTTGGAGGCAAGGTTTCTGAGACTTCGTTTAACATACTTGGACACAGTGAAAGAAGGGACAGGTCCAAGGAGAGGGACATCATGCTTGGGAGGGTGGAGAGAGAGCGCAGGAGAGGAAGGTCCTCTATGAGGTGGATTGATTCAGTGACTGGGGTAATCGGGATAGGTGTATCAAAACAGTGCAATTGGCACAGGACAGAGCAGAGTTTAGGGCTGTTGTACATAGGATTGCTAGGAGTCACAGCGACTCGACAGCATGTACCAACAACAAATGGAATTCTTATTAAGCCATTAAATAAAAATCTATTTGCTTTCCTTCAATCTTCTAATCCACATCCCCCCTAAAGCACCTAGATATTTTGAGACATTTAGAATTATACTAAGTTTTGACAAGGAAGGTCTGGTGGTAAGGACTTTCACTGACAACCCAAGGGCACAAGGCTCAAATCCTTCTCTGCAGGAGAAAGATGGGCAATCTCTTCCCATGCTCTTTACTGCCTCTGAAAATCCAGTAGAGGATCAACTATTAAGTCAATTTTGACTACACACCAAGTGATGACAATGAAAAACAAAGTGAACATGCAACTGTCAGTAAGATCCTTTCCCTTCCATAGCAGACAAATCAAAGTGCTATGCATACCTCCTTCCTCAATTTAGGAATCAAATGAGGATGACCCATCCACAGCACCAGAGGAGGGTTCTGGGAACAAGTCATCCACCTCTTGCTTGTTCATATACTTAATACTTAGCTTTTACTAAATTGGTGGCTGATATTCCTGTATTACTGTTCAAGATGTAGACAGGCAATTTCACAGTCCCGCTTGGGAAAAAGGGAAGGAGCTTATTGCATAAAAACCCATAAAACTGGTTTGTGTGTGTATGTGTGTGATTTTAAATAAAAGGAAAGAGCTTTATCTTTCTGAATTGCCTTTAAATATGAACAAGGAAACCAGTTCTCTAAATGTTAGGAACATCTTTTAAGCATGGGAGAAACTAAAGTAAAAGTCCACTGGGAGAAGGGCAAAGTTAGAGAAGTGACAACTACAGAATATCATGAAGAAGGCATGTTGTTGTTAGGTGCTGGCAAGTTAACTCTTGATTCATACAGGCCCAATGTACAACAGATTAAAACTTTGCCTGAAGATGTGTCATCCTCACAACTTCACTGTCCTTAAATTGATTATTTCTCAGTGTGTCAATCTACCTTGCTGAAGGTACTCCTTTCTTTAGCTGATCTTTCTAAGCACGGAAATTTTTTTCTAAAAACTGATCCTTTTGATAATATGCATAAAGTATATGAGACCAAGTCTCACAAGTATTTCTTCTATAAAGCACTCTGCCTACACTTTTTTTCAAGATAAGATTTGATGGTTCTTTTAGCAATGGTATATTCTGTACTTTCTGCCAACATCACAATTGAACGTCATCAATTCTTCTTGGGTATTCTTTAATTCTTGGTCCAACTTGCAAATGCATATGAAGTTACTAAAAATATCATGGCTTGGGTTAGGCATACCTAAGTCTTCAAATTGACAATTTTTATCTTTAGCAGAGGTCCTTCTGAGCAAACTTGTCCAGCATAAAGATTCTTGACTGCTGCTTCCCATGAGTGTTGATTATAGATCCAAGCAAAATTAAATCAATGACAACTTCAATCATCTTCCCATCTGTCATGATGTTGTCTGTTTGTTCATTTTGGAGGCTATTTGTTTTCTTTATGCCAAGGTGTAATCCATACTGAAAGTTGGAGTCTTTCTAAGTAAATTCTTCGAGTACTCTTCACTTTTACCAAGCAAGGTTGCATCATCTTTATAATGCAAGGTATTGATAAGTCTACCAAGAATCCAAATGTCACATTCCTCTTCATACTGTCCATCTTCTCTGATTATTTGCTCAGTATACAAATTGAACAGCTATGTTGAAAGGAAACAACCTTAACACTTTTTAAAATTTTAAGACTTAAAGTATTTCCTTGTTCTGTCTAAATAGCTGTTTCTTGGTCTATGTACAAATTCTGGATGAACACAATTAAGTGCTTTGAAATCCCTGTATTTTTGAATGTTATCCATTGAAACACTTTTGCATAGTCAATAAAACACAAGTAAATATCTTTCTGGTATCCTCTACTTTCAGTCAAGATCCATCTAACAGCAGCAATCATTCCTTTTCCACATTCTCTTTTTAATTCACCTTGACTTTATAGTATTTCTTACTTGAGAAATGGCATCTGTCATTTTATAATAAAATTCAGGAAGATTTTACTTTCATATGATACTAATGCTATAGTTAAAAAATTTCCTCATTCTGTTGGATCATCATTATTTTTTTAAAAAATATGGACTCAATATGGACATTTGGCTAGAAAGCGGTCTTTCACATTTCTTGGTAAGTGAGCACAACCTCAGTTTACTCAAATATCGCAACTGATATTCCATCAGTTCTTGAAGGCTTATTTTTTGTCAATGACTTCAGTCCTTGGACTGTCACTAGTTTTTTGGACATATTCTACTTCTTGAGTTGGCAGAATGTCAACCAGTTGTTTTTGGTACAGTGACCTTGTGTATTCTTAAATCCTCATTTTATACTTCCTGCATCATTCAATATTTTTCCCATAGAATCCTTCAGTATCACAGCTTTAGGCTTGAAATATTTTCTTTCAGTTCTTCCAGCTTTAGAAATGCTGAGTGTGTTCTTCCTTTTGAATTTCCTAACTCTAGATCTTTGAACATTTCATTATAACACTCTCCTTCGTCTCTACAAGCTGTCTTTTGAAATAATCTTTTCAGCTCTCTGATTTCATCAGTTCTTCCTTTCTCTTTAACTTCTTTACATTCAAGAATGCATGGATAGATAGTATTCTTAGTTAGCTTCAACATAAGCTTCTTTTTAATGAAATAAATTCATTTCTATTAACAGATTGAGCTGTCTTTTGCTGTCTTTTTCTTTGAGGTGTCTTTTTCTGTTAGGTGTCATCAAGTCAATTACAACTCATTGCAACCCTAACAACAACAAATGTGAAATGTGCCCTAATCTGCACCAGGCTGACGTTCTCTATAATACTCAAGCTGACTGTGTAGTTACTGTGTCAATCCATGTCATCATGGGTCTTCTTCTCTTTCACTGACTACCTTTCCCAGCATGATGTTCTCTCTAAAGACTGTTTCTTGCTGATGATATGCCTCAAGTGAGTGAGATGAAGTTTCACCATCCTTGCCTCTAAGGTGCACTCTAGCTGCACTTTGCTTAAGACAGATTTGTTTGTTCTTTAGACAGTGCGTGGGATAGTCAATACACTTCCCCAACACCACCTGAAAGCCATCACTACTTCGTCTGTCATCTTTATTAATTGTCCAACCTCCAGATGCATAAAAAGCAAGTGAAAATACTATGGCTTACATAAGGTGCATCTTAACCTTGAAACTGACATCTTTCTCTTTTGAACTTTGGAGAGTTCAACAACTCATCTGTCAGTGTGCTGTAATGTGGTGATTAGTGTGTTGCTGTGATGTTGGAAGCTATGCCACTGCTATTTCAAATACCAAGAAGGTCACCCATGATGGATAGGTTTTAGTGGCGCTTCTAGATTAAGATGGAATAAACAAAACAGGGAGAGAACTGTATAAAAGGAATATATGATTAGGTACTATTGGTATGAGAATGGTCCAGAATAACAGCTGCATAGTAAAGTGGTCTGGGTGGGGGGTACTGTATAACAATGAAATAACTTTTTTTCTAAAGAAAAAAAAAGCAAACTAGGGAGGAAGGAAGGGAATTGTGCAACAATGAATGAACAGAAATCCAAGTTCTTTATAAACCTACAATCAATAATATCTCAATTAAAAAAAATAAGTAGAATTGGCCATCCAGTCCTACTTTATTTCATACCACTTCTGTAATAAAAGGCCTCTGAAAACTCTAAGGCTCATTAAAGAAAAGAACATTGTAGTATTCAGTGCTGGATATGAGCCCCTTAAATTACAAGTTTCTCAAAATGCCAACTGGAGAAGAAGTCTTTCCCTCAAAGCAAGAATGACTTGAGTGGAGTAAAGCTTTCTCTCAATGAAGGACCTTCATTTGCTGATATGGTAGGACTTGGAATGAGGAGAAACAGCCACTAACATCCAATAATAATTGGAATATAGAATGTACGAACCATAAATCTATAAAAACTTAAAGTTGTCATAAATTAAAACAAGTACATGAATACTGATATCTTAGGTATTAGTGATCTTAGACGAGTATGGGTCATTTGAATCAAACACACACAGGATACCAGAAATGACAAACTGAAGAGAAACTGTTTCAAGATATATCTTGATAGGAAACTACATAAACACATACAAAGATGATCTAGTAATACAACTGTTATTTAAATATATGCACCAATAATGAAAACCAAAGATGAAGATATTGTCTACAAACTTTTGTAGTCTCAAATTGATAAAACATGCAATCAAAATGCATTAATATTAACTGGTGCCTGAATGCAAAATGTGGAAACAAAAAGGAATGGTGGTTGGAAAATAGAGTTAGTGACAAAATGGGACTGGAAATCAAATGATATAATTTTGTACAATGAATAATTTATTCATTGTAAATCCTTTTAAAAAAAACATAAATAGCAACTATACACATGGACCTTTCCTGAAGGGCTATATAAGAATCAGACTGACTATAGTATCTGTAGAAAGAGACATTGGAGAGCTTAATAGCAGCAGTCAAAACCAGGATAGGGGCTCAATATTGGACAGATCATCTACTTTTCATATGCAAGTTCAAAGTTAAGCTAAAGAAAATGGAAAACAAGTCCAAAAGAACCAAAATATGACCCTGAGTGTATCCTAACTCAATGTACAAAACAACTTAAGAAAAGAATTTCACTGAAGATCAAAATAATGACTGAAGACCAGGCAAGTTGTGGAATAATATCAAGGACATAATCCATAAAGAAAGCAAAAGGTCATTCATTAAAATGACCAAAGTGGATATCAAAAGACACTTTGAAACCTGCACTAGAAAAATAAAAATCTGTAATAAGGGAAAGGAATGCTGAGGTAACAGAGCTCAACAGATTATTTCAAATGACAGTTTCAGAAGACAAAACAAACTATTATAATGAAATGTACAAGGAGTTTGAATTAGAAAACCAAAAAGACAGAGTATATTTGTCATTTTTCAAGCTTAAAGAACTGAAAAAACAAATTCAGGCCTGAATTTGTAATACTGAAGGATTTTATGGGAAAAATTTTGATTGATGCAGGAATCATCAAAAGCAAATGGAAAGAATACCCAGTTATTATGCCAAAAACAACTGGTCAACACTAAACCAATTACAGAAGGAACATATGATCAAGAACCAAAAGAAATGAAGAATGAAGCCCAACTGCACTGAAACATTGGCAAAAGATGAAGCTTCAAGAATGAATAAAATACCAATTGAGGTGTTTCAGCAAACTTGCAATCAGCATGTGCTCACCAGTCTCAGTTAACAAATATGGTCCAACTGAGTGAGAGGAATCTGTATTTGTTCCCATTCAAGAAAAGAAGTGATCCAATAGAATATGAAAATTATCCGAGAGTAAAAATGTGAGATTTGGGGATGAACATTCTTTTAAGTGTTACAGCAGAGGTCTATTTGCTGTAGAGAAGTAATGTGGAGTTGCTGTAATGTTGAACAACTGTGCAATAGTTATGAAAAACACCATAATGGCTAGCCATTGTAGGCAGTGTATAGTGGAGCTCCCAGACTGACTGAGGTTTGGAAGCAGGGTGGCATCCACTTCCTTAACCACATGCCTCTGGAAACTCTATAAACTTGGAGAAACAATAATAGTTATAGAAAGGCTTCAGGACTTTTGTTCATAGGGTCCCTATGAGTCGTGCTCCACTCAACGGCAATCAACAATCACATTATTATCACGTGCAAGTAATATCTTTCTGACAATTTAAAAATTGCTGGAAGAGTGTACTTTGATAGAGAACTGCCAGAAACTCAAGGTGGTTTCAGAAGATGCCATGGAACCAGGGATATCAGTGCTGATATCAGATGGATCTTGGCTGAAAGAAAATATCAGAAAGAAGTTTACTTTTGTTTTACTGACTCTGGAAATACATTTGACTTTGTGGATCATTTAACATTATGGCAAGCATTAAGAAGAATGGAAATTCCAGAACACTTAATTATGCTTATGTGGAATCTACATCTAAACCAAAATGCAGTTGTTTGAATAAAACAAAGCAACACTGCATGATTCTACAGTTAAGAAAGGTATGCATCAGGGTTGTATACTTTCTCCACAGCTACTGAAACTGTATGCTTACCAAATCATTTGAGAAGCTGGACTAGATGAAGAAAAATGTGGCGTCAGGATTGGAAACTTATCAGTAACCTATCTTATGCAGATGGCACAACCCTTCTTGAAGGAAGTGAAGAAGACTTGAATTCCTTATTGCAGAAGATCAAAGACCATAGTTTTCAATATGGGTTACATTTTAACATCAAGAAAATAAAAATCACCACTGGAACAAGAGACAACAAAAACTTGAAGTTGTCAGTGATTTAATTTTACCTGGACCCACAAACAATATCCGTAGTAGCAAGACAGTAAAAAAAAAAAAATCAAAAGATGTGTTGCACTGGGTAAAGGTGCCACGAAAAACCTGACCAATGTTCTAAAGAACAGTGATGTCAGTTTAAAAACTCAGGAAGCCTTCTGTTTAGATGATAACAAGTTCCTCTAAGTTTTTATTTGAAAGAAAATCTCAGGATTATAGACAGGGTGCGCTAAATAAAATTGATTCCCTAATAATCAAACTAAGTATTAAAATAAAAAGATGATGAATGACATTACCTGGATGAATTTAGGCAATCCATCAATTCCATTTTTAGTGCTTTGTGCTGAAGTTACATACTTTTTTTCCAAAAAGAAAGTTACAATCCACTTAATAAAAATAACACGAGCAGCCATGAACGGAATTTTTGTACTGTAAATGTTTTCATTGTCCCGGATTGTAGCAATGTATATTGGCTTTGGTCTCAAATGAGGGATATCTGAGAGAGAAAAAAATTCCATTACTGAATCTTAACATTATGTAACTCTTGTGTTTCTAGTTTCAAATAAATAGATATATATTTGCTTACAGAAATAACAACTAATCCCAAAATCTCTGTAAATGTTTATGAAAATTAATAAAATATAATTATAGAAAAAAAAAAGAACAATGAAATGGAAAAAAAAAAAAAGAAATAACAACTAAAGCGAAAATATCAACGATTATCTGGAGGATTCAGTTCTGATCCCGCCAAGCATTCTGATCAAAAAAAGGAGTGATTTTACAGGGGGGGGAAAATGGAAAATTTCCATCAGCAAAATTAATGGATAGAGAAATTCTACTAAGATGATACAATAGAATATTAGGTAGTACAAAGAACAATAAAAAATGTATAAAACACTACATAACATGAGCAAGTCTAGAGTGAAATAACTGAGTAACAAAAAGATTAAAAATTGCATTACACTGCTTTTGTGAAAACAAACGTGTAAACAGGGGGTGGTGGAGAAAAGGAATGCAGAAAAAATATACAGACAATGAATACTGTAAAGAATCAGACAAGGGAGGATCAATCTAAGAAGAACTGAGGAAATGATAACTCAGCTGTTGCAATTAGCAAATAGGAAAAAAAGTATGTATAGACACTCAAAAGGGGTGGAGAAATAGGAGAAGAGGAGGCAGACGAAACAGAGAAATCACTAGAACAGCAGAGATTAATGGACAAGTAAGGAGGTGAAGTAACAGGCAAGGTACAGTGGGGACTTGATGAGGAAGGGTGGCAATAGCAAATAATTCTAAAAAATATGATGCAAATCAAAACAACTATGAGATATAATCTCACCCCAGTAAGAATAGTAAAATTTAACAGAACAGCAAACAACAAATGTTGGCGCAGTTGTGGAGAAACTGGAACCCTTATTCACTTTCGGTGGAAGTGTAAAATGGTGCAACCACTGAGGAAAGTGGTGTAGCACTTTCTCAAAAAGTTGCAAATAGAGATAACATTCGACCCAGCAATTCCACTACTGGGAATATATCCCAAAGAAACCATAACTGACATCCAAGCAGATATATGCACACCCGTGTTTATTCACAATAAACAAGGAGTTGGAAACAACCCAGGTGCCCATCAACAAACGAATGGATAGAGAAGCTGTAGTATATCCATATAATGGAATACTACGCTGCATTGAAAAACAAGGAACTCATGCAATATTATTCAAAACAGATGACCCTGGAGGACATTATGCTGAAATACCTCAGTAACAAAAGGACAAATACTGCATAGTGCCACTGTTGTAGAACGAGACTGAAATCAGGGTTGGGGTGAGACTGAGAAAAACTGGATAAATTATGATAAAACAGATGAGGGAGAGAACAGTTTAAAAGCGATATATGATTGAGTATTAAGGTTATGACAAGAGTCCAGAATGAAGGCTGAATAGTGGAGTGTACTTGGTGGGGGAGGGGACTGTATAACAATGAAAAAATTCTTCTTTTACTTTTCAAAGAGAAGAGTGAACTGGGGGGAGGGGTGGGCAGGGAGAAAAATGCAACAATGAATTAATAGAAATCCAAAATCTCTATAAAAGTTCATTAAAAGTAATAAAATAAAATTAAAAATTACAGTGTATATGAAGGATTGTATAAAACACAATGTACATGAATGAAACACAATGTCCATGAGTGATTTGTATAATGTTGCTCTTTTTGTTGTTGTTGTTGCTATGTGCTGTTCAGCCCCATGGGACTCATAAACCTCTACATACAACAGCCCTAAATCCTGCTCTATCTTGTGCCAATCTTATTTTCTCTGACACACCTAGTCCCATTACCCCAGGCACTGAATCAATCCATCTCATAAAAGGTCTTCCTCTCTTGCACTGTCCCTTCACCCTCCCTAGAATGACTATGCTCTCCAAGGATTACTCTCACCTTGCAACCTGTCCAAAGTATGTCAGACGAAGCTTCAGAATCATTGCCTCCAAGGAGCAGCCTGTTCTCATCATCTAAGACAAACCTGTTTGTTCTCCTAGCAGTCCATGGTATATTCAATACTATTCTCCAGCACCACAGCTCATAGGCATCAATTTTCCATCCATCATCCCTAGTCATTGTCCTGCTTTCTGACATTTAGCAAGTAAATGTAAAGTCTACGGCTTGGATCAGGTGCACCTGAATCTCCAGACTGACATCGTTGCTCTTAAGTACTTTGAAGAGATCTTGGACAGTAGACTTTCCCAATCCAATTCGTCTATTAATTTCCTGGCTGCTGGTACCAAAAGTGTTGATTGTGGAGGTAAGCAAACAGAAGCTGTTAAAAATCTCCGTCTCTATCATGATGCTGTGAATCAGTCCAGTGGTTAGAATCTTTGTTTTCTTGATGTTGAGCTTCAATCCATATTGAAGGCTGCAGTCCTTGACCTTCTGGTCCTCAGTTTCAGCAAGTAAGTTGTTGAATAATGAATAAAGTAAGGTTCTACATAATGCAGATTGTTGATCAATCTTTCTCTAATCCTGATGCCACATTTCTCTTCATAGAGCCCAGCCTCCCAGATATAGACTGAAATGGCACGGAGATAGGACACATGCCTGGTGTATACCCTTCCCAATTTTGAACCATGCAGAGTTTCCTTGCTCTGTTCTGACAACTGCTTCGTGGTCCAAGTATAGGTTTTGCATAAACACAATCAAATGTTTTGTCATTCCCATTCTTTTCAAAGTCAGACAACAGTTTGCTGTGACCCTCACAGTCAAATGCCTTTGCATAGTCAATGAAACACAGATTCCTCTGCTACTCCCTGTTTTCAGCCAAGATCCATCTAGCATTAGCTATAAAATCCCTCGTAACATGGCCTCTTCTAAACCCAGCCTGCATCTCTACAACCTCTGCTGAGGTGCTGTTGCAGTAGTTTTGGGATAATCTTCAGCAGAATGTTGCTTATATGTGATACCAATGATACTGTTCGAAAATTTCCACACTCCATCGGATTGCCTTTCTTTGGAATGAAAACAAATAAAGTTTTCTTCCAGTCATTCCACCAAGTGGTTGTCCTCCAGATTTCTTGGCACCACTTGATTGTACAACAGCAAACAAAAAAGGGAGTAACTCTTGTTATATGGCTAAAGCACTCAGCTTTTAAAGATTGGAGGTTCAAACCTATCAACACAAGCAAGATGCGACTGCTCACAAAACAAAAAAGACACTATACAATAAGGGAACAATTAGCACAATAATTAAATAAAGGGAATATACAGAGAAGTACAGAAGGACTAATGGAAAACAATTATATGGAGGCGGTAAAAAAGTGTAATTACATTGTGCGTATTGAAATTAATGTTACAAATCATGTAGGAGTTAAATTAGAAATGTCTTTGTTTTAAGTTGCAAATAGAGATACCATTTGACCCAGCAATTCCACTACTGGGAATATACCCTGAAGAGACCATAGCTGACATCCAAGCAGATATAT